GGGGAGTTCCCCCTTGGGGGAACCCAGGGGTGTCATGGGAATGAAAAAATAGTACCCGTATCTAATTTTTCATTCTAAACCAATTCTACATGTTATTTTGTGCAGGTACTCATAATCAATTGCCACTCAGTTGTTCTAATCGCTTCTTCTGTTTTAGTCTAGTCCGCTTTGACGAAAATGGCTTGTGGAAGGCTTCGTGTAGGCGCTTCACCTTAAGTGGTCCCATCCCAGGCACCAGTGCAAGCTCGTCGCTGGTGGCGGAAGCAATCCCCCCTATTGTKGAAAACTGCGCCCAGAGGTTCCCGGCATCCGTCTTGTTGATGCGCCCGTTGGTTGTGGCACAAAGGAAATCTGCTGCCTGGTCAATGGGGTTGGTTGATTCCCTCTTTTGAATGCACCCAGCATCCTTCCCCTCCCGAACCTTGTAGGTTTCCAGGTACCGGGCGGCCTCAAGCTCGCTCCAGCAAAGGATCAGGGTCAGCTGGTTCTGGACACCGAATGTATTCAGCTGAAGCAGGGAATTGGAATTGTCGTCGACATCCACGAGAACCAGTAGRATACGCAGCTTAAAATCGTCGCGGAGCTCAGAGAGTCGCCGGTAGATATARCGGGGATATAACTTGTGGTATTTAATGCTCAAAAAAAGGGCGCACACCGTGGGCCCCAGGATGTAATCGGGAACCATTGGGCTGTAGGCGATTGGGACGTTTCGTATCAGAGGGAGGATCGAGTTGCCCTTCTGCCGGATACTAACGTATAGAACATGTGGCTGCAACATGGTGTGGTGCACACGAAGATCGTCTTTGTTGCCGTTGGAATTACCGGTTGTCTCGGCATTCGCATTGATGCTTTGTTCTTCAGAATCGTCGTTGCCTCTGCTTTTAGAAGTTTGATGCTCCTGCCGACCCCCAGTTCCCGCTGCCCCGTCTCTATTGGACAGAGATGAAGACAATGGCAAGGTTTTCTTGCTTTCGGTGTTACTTGATTTCGCTTTTTTCTTGGACGTCAGCTTCTGTTGTCGTTTCCCCTCTTTCGGAACTTTCGCCAATCGGAAGGTCTGCTTCTTTTTCTTTGGATCCTCGAAAGAGTCGGATGCCCTGCGAAAGTTTTCCGAGCCGTCAATCGAATCAAAGGCCTGTGAAAACGTCCCAGGGCGCATCGCAAGCGTGTAGCTTGACGGGAGGAGGGCATCGTCGTCGCCGGTTTTGAGGGGGTGGTTGCCCACGCGGRATTGTGCACCATCTCGATTGCTTCGACGGTTGGCTCCTTCGGAAGTTCCTGAAGAATGTGGRTTTCTGCTGAAGGACGACGGCCGGGTATCTTTTCTATTGGCAGGAGGAGCAGAGGCTGCAGATGTTGTAGTCACCTCGGACTTTTTGGCGTACGGATTGCAAACAACTGTTTTTGGTGGCATATCGTTTGTTAACTTGTTCGTTCGATCTTTTGTTTGGGTTGTGCCACTTCGAAAACTATCTCAGTCCCGATCGGAAAGGTAGTATTTCCTCCTCCTGGCTGCAACTACCGGTAGTGTCCGAGTTGTACGGTACTTCTATGGGTGAGACTGGATCAGTAANTCCCGATCGGAAAGGTAGTATTTCCTCCTCCTGGCTGCAACTACCGGTAGTGTCCGAGTTGTACGGTACTTCTATGGGTGAGACTGGATCAGTAATTTGAATGGTTCTTTTCACATCATCCAATCGAAAGCAATTCATTCTGCGCCGAATTTTTTGTTGGATTGTGTACTTCGTTCTTGGTGGTACAGCGCCGGTGCAAGTCGAAAGTCGAAAGTGGTATTTGAAATTTGAATGTACGTACTGTACATAGGTAATGTTACTGTAATGGGTGATTCCCGTAAACATAGAATCTATGCCGTCTTACTTTACGAATTTATGTCTACGGGAATAAGTATGTATGCACATATAATCTAAAATCTTACATTATGGCGCGCTACATGTGCTTGATTTTGGAATGAGGAATTTTGCTTGAAATTAACAGAAAAAAACTGCATTCTCGCAAGCAAATATTGAGAACACATGGTGCCAGCAAGGGCGCCAGAACAAATCTAAAGTGTCAGGAGCCGGGGGAGCCCGCCAAAACAAATCCAAACGCTCACTAGTATACAAAAACTGAAGTAACTGGCAGAAATAGCTAGCATCCTCACTAAAAGGACCATGAAGACAAGGAAGAAGCCTGATGGAGTCATGTCAACAGGAATTAAAAGTTGAGAACCCTGAGAACCCCCCCCCCCCCTTCCCCGGGGGAGAAACTGGTTGGAATGCAGCAAAACGCGTGTAGTTCACAGTGTTCATTCCAGCATCAATTTGGCATCGATTCGGCATCGATTCCGACACAAAAAGAACAGCATCGATTCCAAAGATGGTTTTAACAAGAAACAACGCACAGCAGCAACAAGCTCCACCTGGAGGAGGTCGGAGATCCGGAACAAGCAACTACGGCACTCAGGAAACCATTGACTTGATGTATACCATCTTGGAAAGGCTTCCTATTGGGGCTGATCAGTGGCATGCAGTGGAAGCAACTCATGCTGAGCACTATCCTGATGCCCATAGGGATGTCTGCTCTATCCATAGGAAGTATTCAACCCTTCATCGTAAGAACATTCCTACTGGAGATCCAAACTGTCCTTTGGCGGTGAGACTTGCCAAGAAGGCAAAGTACTTGATTGGTGTTAAGGCAGATATTGGAGATGGAGAAGAGCACTTTGATATTGAGGAAGGATACGTACATCCTCAAGGTCGCAATGGAGATCCTGATGGCAATGAGAACAATGCGCCTGGTCCCCCCTCTCCACCAAGCCAACAAGAACAACCTTCCTCGCAAGAAACAGAAGTTTCGGAAGAACAACAAGATGTCGATGAAGAAGAACTTACTCAGCAGGAAGTGAACCGCAACAACGGCAACCGCAACAATGGCACGACCACAGCCATTGCAGTTGCAGTTGCAGTTGCCGACGTAACGGCGACAGCAAGAGCTGTTACACCCGGAAGAGCAAGAGCCCCTTGTGTCTGTTCTTACAACACTGCCAATTCAAAGCAGCAAGGCATCATTAAGGCATTGGAGGCCTGTGTTGAACAGCACGAGAGAGCTTCTTTGAGAGCCAGGGAAGAAAGGAAGGAGGCCTATCAGGCAATTGGAAGCGCTCTTGGATCCCTTGTCACCATTGCCATGCAGCACTTCAGTCCAAAAGCTGGTCGCAAGAGGAAGAATAGTTGCTCCAGAAGCAACAGCGATGATTCCGAGGATTCTGATTCCGATTAGCGCATTGGATGATTCCGATTCCGATTAGCGCGTTGGATGATTCCGAGGATTCCATGAATCCCATTGTCGATTGTCGTGTTCATATTACATTTACTACATTTAATTTATCTTATTAATCACTACTTTAATTCCCATCTTCCATTTGGTTTATACTGACTGCTGCGTTATGGCAAAAGCGAGTGGATTAGAATAAGAACTTCACTTGTACGCGTTAGCTCGTGTTGTTCAGTACTGTTTCTACACAGTCTTCAGTAGCGGATTAGAATAACTTCACTCGTACACGTTAGCTCGTGTTGTTCAGTACNCTGTTTCTACACAGTCTTCAGTAGCGGATTAGAATAACTTCACTCGTACACGTTAGCTCGTGTTGTTCAGTACTGTTTCTACACAGTCTTCAGTATATTTTGAAAATTTTCAAAGTCAACGGACGCCTAAGGATACTCCAACATGCATTGCTTTTATTTGTTATATAGGAAATGAATATTTTTATTGATTCTATTCCCGCTTCATTATGGGATATCCAACATGCATTGCTTTTATTCATTATATTCAAAATGTATATTTCTTATTGATTCTATTCCCGCCTCCTTATAAGGGAATCTTTGTGATTCAACGCTTCAACGGTTCAACGGACCATGAAAATTTCAAATAACACGTAGTATCGTGTACAAAATACAACTTAACACGGTGTAACGCGTAGTAGCTTTGCTCTCACTCATCGACTGCTGCTCAGCACTCAGCTCACTTGCTTGTTGCTCAAGCCTCCACCAGTATGAATTACAGTAGTTTAAACTTGTTTAGTGGTTCTAATCAAATGGTACGTTGACCATGGGAATTGTATGCGTATTGTTGTTGCCGATTGCTGTTGCCGATTGCTGTTGCCGATTGTTGTTGCGTATTGGTGGTCCGTATCGTTGTTCCGTATCGTTGTTCTGTATCGTTGTTCTGTATCGTTGTTCCGTATCGTTGTTCCGTATCGTTGTTCCGTATCGTTGTTGCTTGTTCTTATCAGTATTCTTGTTGTGGCTTATCGGTGTTGCGTTTTCTGTTGCTGGGATGTATCGATGTATTGTTGTTGCTGCTATCTCACCAAAACAAGTTGTTTGCATTGGAATCAATCGTATAATCATGCATGAAGAATCTCTTCTTCTTTTTTTCATTGGGCATGAACACGTTAAGGATCTGATTGATGCCTACAGTGCTGGCTTGATAATTGTACAACAAGATGGCTGTGTGCAGGAGAATCTTCCTTTCACCTTGCTCCTCAAGTCTTATCCTGTCCTTCAGCCTTGGAAACTGTCCTTGGATCATCCTCATTCCCCACTCGGACAGCTGTCGGAGTGACGTGGCTTGACGATTGACAGCTACAGCACGTTTGGCAGCAGCGAGGTTGCTGGCGCTGCTGCCTACATTGTTGTTGAGGATGTTGGGGGGGGTTGTTGATGCTGGCAAGGAGATCTGGATCCTTCTGGTAAGTTCTAAGAAGATATTGCTTGTCAGTCAAGTTGAAGGCCGAGTCGACAACAACCTTTGCTCCGTACAACTCATACATCTCCTCCATTCTCTGGTATATTCCATAGTCTGATATGGTGCTATCATGCCAAGATCCTGGACAGTTGAAGATGGTTCCTCTAATTTTGCCATCTGGAGCAAAGATGAAGACACTACCAACATACGTATCACATGTCCATCCATTGGAGAACATGTTCTGTACGGCCCAGTTTGAAGATTTCTGCCATCCAAGCTTCAGTCCATCAGCAGCGCCCCATACTCTTTGTTGTTCAAGGAGTGGGTATTTTTCTCCAATAGCCTCAATATAAGCATCAACATCCTCTCTGGCAGGAGCCCTGACTCTTGCGTCTGGATGGTCTTGCAAGACAAAGAGCAGTACACACCTGGAGAACTTGATCCACTTGTACATTACTGTTGATGAGAGACCAAAGGCCATCGACAGCCCTCTTGCTACGGATCCACGAGTCCTGAACCAGTGCAGTGTTAACCCAAGACAGCATGTTGCATTTGCTTCCCTGTGGCGTCCCTTTGGCATTCCATTCCTGTGGAAGCTTCTTTTGCGGATCTTTCCTGTTGCCTCATCAACCATGTACATGTTGAACACTGGCGCATAGAGTTCCATGAGACCTCTAAAGACCTCATGATCAACACCACAACAGTTTAGAAGGGCCTGCTCATTGCCAGAACTATACAAGTGGAGGAATGGAGACTGATTCCATCTCCGGATGGAAATCCTTGGGTTTCTCCTATCCCTCCAATGCCTATCCTCTGGAGACAGCTCTTCTTTGTCCAGCTCATTGTGGAGAGCCACACAAAGCATGATGAATTCTAGTGACATTGTTGTGGTCCTTTGACTGTGTCTCGGTCGTGGTCCTTGACGAGGAGCGCCTTGCGTCGATGTTCCTTGCTGATTGCTTGTCGACGTCCCTGCTTTATGATCCAAAATTTCTGTCAGCAAGCGTCGATTGCCATTTGATGCTGCTACAGCTATCTTTTCGACCTAAATCTTGACACTTTAGATTTGTTTTGGCGCACCATTTTGGCATTCCCGGTGACACTTTAGATTTGTTTTGGCGCACTTGATGATTTTGTGACACTTTAGATTTGTTTTGGCGCACCATTTTTGGCTCCCCCGGCTCCTGGTGACACTTGAGGAGAACTGGCTGTCAGATGCTCGTGACTAAGGGTTTTTTGAGTCCATGATTCCAAAAAAGTATGTGTTTGCATACATACTTTTGGCAGCCGTGGCGCTGCGACAACCAAAAATCTATGTAATTCTGTCTTAAATACATACTTCTATGTCTGCACGACTGGAATCTAATTCAATTTTCTTAGAATCAATGTTTACGGGAATCACCCAATGGTAGATCGGTGCATACTCGTACATGGTACCGTAGGGTACTACTCAAACACACCCTGTAGCAAACCCACTTACCGTACCGTACGGTACTGTACCGTTCATATCCAACTTGCGACTTTCACTGGCCGCGCACCGCAAAGTATAGAATCACGAGTAGATGGTGAATGAACACTCATCTGCAATGCTGTTCCCGGATTTCAATCTGWGGCTCAGTGACGATTATGACACCCTTTACAACGCTCGGAAGAAAAATGGGATTTTTCTCGAGGTGCTCCATCCAAAGTGTACTACTTGTACGTACAACCCTGTAAGAGTACCAYCGGATCCTATCCGTTTTTGGTGACACATCGTAACGGTAGGAAGAAATACTGACAAACTCGTCATCAAAAATTGACAGACACCTTTSTTGTGCGACGAAACCAAACAAAACAACCGTTAAAACTTTCGAGATGTATGATCCATCCGCAAACCTGAGATAAAAAATCTCAATCTCAATAACAGCGTAGCGTGGTGGCCAGGGAGCCAGCCAGCCATGATGAATGACCACAACCAAGAAAACACCCCGCTGCTACCACCGAGCAATAACCTCCGAAGAACCGAGCGATGGAAGAACACGCGTATCGGCACCSACAATTCAAACAGCGATGACGCGAGCGAGGAGCGGGGCAGTGCGGGGAAGCAACAACAGCGCAATCGAAGGACAGAGAGAGGAACAAACAACAACAACAACAACACGGCGATGATGCACTCGATGACGATGATCCCAATCGGTCMCATCATTGGTGTGTCAAAGCCGATCGAGAAGTGGTACCGGGGCCTGGTAGTCCGGCAGAGCTGCCACAACCACCTTGCCAGCGATTTGCTCTCGAAAGACATGTACCTCAACACCTTATCAGTGGCTCTGACTGCCATCACTTCGTCCGCAATCTTCACGTCGCTCTCGCCGACAGCGGGAGCGACAACAGCAATGCAAAACAACCCGCACGGGGATCTGAACAACACGCAAGCAATGTACAACGTGGGTGGTGTCGACCAGTCCTATTACTACGCCCCGATCGACCTGTCGAATACGCTGGCAGTTATTGCAGGTGTTATAGCTGCCCTCAACACCGTGCTGCAGGGGGTGACGAGAACGCTGTACTACGGACAGAGGGGGGAGCGGCACCTGCGGGCCTACAAGGAATTCTCGAGGCTTCGCTTCCAACTAGAGAGCATTGTCGGCGACAAACCAAAGTACACGGAGCAYAAGGTGGACCGGGAAAAACTCAAGCGGTGGATACGGAAGTACGAGGAGGCGTTGGAAGAGTCACCGGTGCGTATTGTGTGCGTGTGTGAGCGATACAAACGATGAGAACATATATTCTTCCTCCTATGGTGCAACAGCAAGACGAAGTATTCTTTGTGCTGATTCTCATCGTTTTTCGTTTGGTTTGATTTCGTTCATGTTWCCTCTTGCCACCACTCTTCTCGCTCTTCTTAACGTGGTCAGATCATTCCACAAAAAACCTTCGAACATGTCGCAAAAGAGCAAGGGATGAGAAGCCGCCGGTGGCCAAGTGACGAAAAGGAACTGGAAGCRATCATGGACGAGGAACGAAACTTGGCGGCGGTGAAAGAAAGCAAGATGGTGTAGGTTTGCTTGCGTATACGTTCCGCTGCGTTGTGTGCCACCAGTGTAACAAATACACGAATTGTTTACGAGAGTATCGTACGAATGTGACCTCRATTGTTGGGTTGAAGTTGTTGTACGAAAATRTGTGCCGTGCGTATGGTTATTTTCAAGATTGAACTAATAAGATCAACCGTACGAGCTGAATCCAARCAAGAYGAGGAAAATACATTAGGGGAGAAGGAATACGAAGGAGGAATCACTACAGCATTGATTGACACAAGTAGCATGTTTACGACGAAATAAACTTTTCAAATACTTGGACGACAAGATTACACCTTTTATCTGCTCAATTCGTACGGATTGACTTCGTACCGTAGATTTTTCATTACGATTCTTGACACCATGAATTCACTCCCTATTCAGACCCACACCATTTCCAGGGCTGTTCAGTKCCATCCGACTGGTTTCTGCGTTAAGGTGGTGGAGAACCGCTACTAGAGTGGGTCCTACGAAAGTTCTCTGACGATGCACCGCTCAATGACATTTGTAGAACCATCAACTTAAGGTTCTGAGAATTTTCTTGAAAGGAGAACTGATCAGCACGATAGTACATTTTTTTGTTTTAAACGTTGGTTGCATACAATGTTAATCAAATATATTGGATCGCACCCAGCATCAGACCCGTATGACCATGGAAATTTCTCCCCGGAGTTCTTTGGTGGTACAAAATTTAAAAAAACCCGCGAGAGAATCAGTGTCACGAACGTTTTTCAAAAGTTCGTACCGTTTGGTCCGAACCAAAAAAGTCTTCGAAAGAAACATATAAATTCGTCTCGGTGTCCGATGGTACGGTACCTTACATGTCAGAACAACGTAATCCAGGACCGGGTGAAAAAAGTAATGATATCTCTTGCTTTTTTCCCTGAATTACTACTGAGCGTGATATTTTTCTAACATTTATGACATTTTCTCGAGCGCACGTGATAATTTTGTCACGTACGTGATACTTTGTGATAGTATTTAGTTATCCAATTTAGTTGCTTCCAGCACCAAAAGTATTTTCCAGTGGCCAYTGAATGGCTTATACAACCAAAAAGAAAATTAATTGCATAAAGACATTTTTATTTCCCATTGAACGGAACATGTTTCGGCGGATTTCAGTGGCATAGGAAAATGATTTTGGCGGGCTCAGTGACATTAGACATTCTCTTGTCCTCAACGGAAATTATTTTTTTTATCAATGGCTCCACGGAGGTTCGCTATTTTTAACTTGATGAATGGGACAAAAACTAGCGCCTGTCACAGTTTCAAATTATTGCCTGTGAAGTTTGAACTGTAGGAATCACATCACTCAAAATTCAAATTTCAACCGTTGTTGGTCTTGGCAGGAATGACATGACATATTGTAAAAATAGTTTTTCCGATATATTATTGCCAAATTCCGTTATTGAAGCCCGATAGGCATATTTTATCTAGCAACAAAGTTCTGCAGACTATTTCTATCGAGCTTATCCCATTGAAATAGGAAAAAAATGCATGTAGTCATTCGCCGAATTGGTTCTGGAACATCAACCAATACTGATAGCGTGATGTACGTACGAGTATGCAAAAGCTGCTTTCATAACATAAGCATTCTCTGCCCGCATGGCAWTCCACATTTTGCATACGGTTTTTTCACGTGAAGTATCGTTTATTTTCGTCGCACCAAAGAAGGCATCGATACTCTTATTATTTCCTCTCTAGTGAAATTGAATACCACAAGAACTCGAAGAGAGCACGAACCATGAAGCTTGTCAACACAGATGAACCCGAGGTTCCAATTCCGACTGTGCACGCCTCGAAAACAAAGAACAGGCGCAGGAGAAAACGGAGCATGACCATCTCCGCCGAGAACTACGACGGAGGTCTAGKYGAGTTTCTGATGACGAATTCGTCGAACACTTKCCGCCACAAAAAGCATCCCCAAGAAACTGAGGATCTCAGAAGTTCAAACGACCTCGATGACTGCGACGATACGTCGTCTCTCACTAGTGGTCTAGAGTCGACGTATTCCTACAACTCGAGCAGTCTCCTTTCCGCATCGACGCGATCCACGGTSTCGTCCCTCGGCAGCACCAGCAGCAGTCTGCGATCTTCCAGGAGCAGCTCGAAGCAATCAAGACGACGAGAAAGAGAGCGARYCAAGCCAACAGAAGAAATCGTCTTTGATCCGACCCTAGTGCCGAGCAAGAGCTGCTTAAAGAACAACCTTTGCTCTTCCCGGAGCAAACGGCAGACACACGGAACCACCATCAAGATCTACCTTCCTGGAAACCCTGAACCTGTCGCMAAGCACCGAACGATCAACTTCAACGAACAAGTTAGCGTTCGTGAGGTCCGTTCGGCCAAGTCCCTCCTCCGCAACAAGGCCCAGTACCTCTGGTTCCAACCGCATGAACACGCCGAGATCAAGCACGGCATCCAGAAGATCCTCAATGCCGTCAACGCCGAGGGCACCTCCATTACTAATGGTCGCAAGTATTGCGTACGAGGCCTCGAGCGGTTCCGGAATCCCGACGAGTGCTTCTTACAGCGTGCCAAGGCCAGCGAGGCCGTGGTCATGGAGCAATACCTGCAACGGGCGGAGGGGAATTTCGATCCCGCAGAAATTTCCGCTGTCTACATCGCGGCCTCGAAACCGAGCCAGCGGCTCGCCTCGCGACGGGGAATCAAGGATGCTATCATTGCCGAAAGCATACTGGGGACACGTTTCCGAACTCTCGTCGGTGGGGGTGGGTTTTCGATGTCGTCTTCGTTGTCACCGGTAAATTCTCMGACATCAACGTCTCGCAAGTCCTTTTCTGCGCGRGAATCGCGTACAAGCCGAGACCTTTCCCTGCCGCCATCGCCGGAGTCGTCCCGCAAGTCGCTCTCCATGCGAATGTCGCGCAGCAAGTCCAACGGAAGGGCCTCGCAATCTCCTTCCTCAACAAGGAAGGAGAAACCCAGGCAAAAGAGGAAGACGAAACGAAGTACTACCGGTACGGTATCCGGATGCAGACCACCTCTCAAAGGTGAAACACCCAGCTACCTACCTAGCTATCTAGTAATTTCTAATTAGCTAGCTAGCTTGTAATTTTCGAATCGGTGCTGATCGGCTTGGAACAGCCCAGTTTGATTTTGACATTATTTTTTTAATAGATAGAATAGAACTCAAAMAGTGAATAGCGAAACATTTATTCATACAGATAATTATACTCGAACATTGAACAATGGAATTGATTTCTTATAGATTCCCTTCAAYRTAAATACCATGCAAATCCAATAGGATTCAATTTTTCMATGCGATACTAGTAATGCGAGATATTTTGTAATCTTGAAGTTGCGTAYGTATCCAATTTGTAAATTTGGCATCAGCCTTTCTRYGGGACTTTTGGAGRTGCAACCGGGTAAATCAWAGTATTTGGGATTAGCTCGTCTAAAAGAATTGAGCCAATCTAGTTTGAAGTGTTTGGGAAGTAGTAGCAGCAGGAGCCAAAGAAGTATCTGGCACTGYAGTCTGTTCGTGATATTTCTTTTGTTGGAGTATGTGTCAAAGACCAGCAAGTCTTGTGTGACRMTCTCCAGCAGTGGTTGTTTACTGTGAGACAAGAGTGAAAAATTCTGTGTGATAGGGTTTGAAAGGGTGCAAGTTGGAGACAGATGTGACAGATGATGTGCAGATGCTTCTTGCATCAATTGTTTCTTATGTACTCGATGCAATACAACAGCAAAGTAGTGGATGCTGCAGATATGAATATTTCAGGATCCTGWGGGAATAAGTGAGCATGACAAGAAGTACACATCTGTGGTTGCAAGGCTAACAAGTTGTGRACTTTTGTTGTTATCCATTGTCATTGCAATACTTTTTTTGAGAAAGGGTGTATCCATGAGGGTCTTTATTTCTCTGTTCCCAGGATTACATCATGTAGAAGGTGAGAAAGAACTCCACTAAATAACTCCCAATATCCAAGAAGCCATTCAGTAATGCAACTTGCAAGAGTATCAATTGCAATTGATCTAGGCTAAAACAGAAAAGAAATGTGTCACCAATGTGATCTGGACGAGTAGTCTGGTAGGAGTTATAGAAGGGGCCAAAGACTCGTTAACTTTGGCAGTTGTGCTTGCTTAGTATTGTGGTCAAACATCACTACGTCAGACGTAGCCTATCCTGTGTAATGCTCTCCAGGGCTCCTTGTTTACTGTAAAATACTGGGTGATTGGTTCTGTATTATGAACAGAGGTAGATGTAGCAGCAGTAGTATGCACACCACTATTGTTGTGAATGGTGGTCTCGTAGACTTTGAGGAGATAGTATATCAAAGAATCATTGGTGGAGCAAGTGAGGAAAGCTTCAGGATATTGTGGAAAGATGTGGGCATGTGATACTAGACATATCTTGTTTTGGAGAGTGAATAATCAGAACAGGGAATGACCACGGAGGTCTTAGTTTCACAAATGAAATAGCAGGGAAAAATGAAAAATATTCATTCAGAAAGAACTCCATCATCAAGTAGCTTCCTGCCACATCTGGAGAATAGGTACTGGAATGGAGATGGGGATCAGTAATCCAATGTTAGTAGAGGTGGCCTGTAAATAAGTGCTGCCATCCAATCTCTGATTGAAAAAATGAATGACTGGGTGGAAAGTTTTGGGATACTTCTCTGAAGAAACTTGACCAGTATCAAACCATTTGGTGATGCAAGAACTGGCTAAAGTATCAATGTCAATAATACTATAACTCAATGACTTCAATTGTTGCTACAAAGAGTGGACAGTTGATCTTTGCCACCTTACTAGCTGTGTACCATGTGAGTATTGGACTATATGGCTGAAAGTCTCTGGTGGTTTGTTGCAAAGGCAACATGCGTTGTGAGTTGTTTGGTACTTCCTTTTGTGCAACACTATTGCAGTGGGGAGGAGGTTGTGACAACATTTCTTGATGACAAGAACCACATGTTGTGAAATTCTGTGGATGGCAATTTCAAGTGACTGCCCTGCAATCTGATTGAGTGTAGGTTTGGACGAATGCTGGTTACATTCTTCCTAGAGATAGGAATAACATTGTGGAATGTCAAAGTGTTTCTCTACTGACTGGCTATATACTAGCAAGATAGAATCTGGAGAACTGCTGGGCACACTGGAAGAACTGGAGTGATGGGTAGGGGTTTGGGAAACTTGGTGGCATAGCATAGTACCCAATCAGCTTCCATGTTCAAATATGCTTTCAGGAGTAATTTGTCAAAGGCAGTGTACTACAACACCAGTAGGATACTATGAAGAGAGGAATTGATTGTGCAAGTTGGTACTACTTGTAGATTTGTTCCAATAAATCAAATTCAGGAGCCAGGGCTTCATGGATGTATAATTCTTTGTATTCATAGCAGGAATGAAGTCTGCTGTAGTAGGAAATGATGAGTGACCAGTTATCAGCACTGGTGACAAGCTCAATCTTTGAAGACTCAAATTCAGTTATGGAACAAGATGCAAAAGCTGTTGTAGATGAGAAATAGGATGTATTGTTTGTATTTTGAAACTTTCTGTGATGAGTTGAAGTCTGAAATATCCATGCTGGATGAGAACAAGCTTCAGTTCTACTACTGTGTGATAGTGACAAAACTGGTGGTTTGCTGACAGCATAGTAATTACTGGGTTCAAGTCACCAAAAGATAAAATATACTACTACTGCTAGTGGTCCTTGTTACTAGTACCACCAGTGTTGTGATGCTTTAAAGAAGCTGCATGGAAGGCAAAAGGATGCACCAAAAGCAACTGGTCTTTTGCACTAGTAGTAGTAGTACTGTTACTAGTGTTAGACTGACTGGGTTCAACAAGTTCAAACAAGAGACTTCTTCAACTACTACTAGTAGCATATACTATTAGTACTAGTATACCATAGTGCTGCCACCAGTATGATGTTCTGAATAGCTGGAGTGAAGTGAAATACAGAAACTAATGGTTGTTTGTAGTACTACTACTACTGGAGTCTTATGATCCAAACAGTGAGATCACCACTGCAAAGATTGMATTAGTAAAGCTGGTGGTTTCTTAGATTTACTGCTACTACTACTAGAGCAAAAAGAAGGTAGTGGTGTAAACAGCCAAAAACACCTTTGGGTAGGTTGCATTATCACTAGACACTGCATTAATGTCAGAAGTAGGCTCCAAAGAGTACAGCCCTCCCATGCAAAGGATACTACTACTGGTGTACTAGATCTTGAGTAACTAAGATGGAACACCACTGCTCCTGAAGAGCTGAACTTGACAAAGTTGGTTTTGGTGGAGAGGAGGAGTGTCCCCAATGAAAAGGATGCATCAATAGTACAGCTAGTACTAGTACAAGCAATGGTGCAAGTATAGAGCAAAAGAAGGTTCTCTGAAGAGCTGTAAAAACTGAGTACTACTAGGTTGCACTACTATCAGCAGCAGCAGTAGTAGGTTCTTTGGGAAAAGAATGATGTGGCCCAATGCAAAGGACACATTGCTATGGCTGCAAAAACCAAAAGAAGGTCCTCTGAAGAGCCAAAGAACATTTGAATACTAGCTTGCATTACTAATGATACATGTCAGGGCTTAAATCAGTATGCAGTACGTACTTTTGGTTCGTCTTTTTTCATTTAATGTGCTTGGGTTGTGGGGAATCTTCTACAAACAATTTTATTGAGTATCCAACTGTGTCTGCATCAATATTTCTTTCACACTTCTAATTGCTGTTATGCTGCCGCTGATACTTTGCTGGAAGCTATTTGCTCCTCACCTTGCAGCAGCAAGCCCAGTTGTTCTCATTAGTACAACTAGTAGCAACAAGCAAACATCAACTGCTTGCTCTTTGCTGCTGCAACAAGAAATGAATGGCTCACATAATAAGAAGACATATCAATTGCAACTGCACTCTCTACATTGTCCTTAAAAGCTTGAGCTCATTGTGGGCAGACTCTAGCTGCCTTTCAAGGGAGGAAACACTTTTGGCTTTCTCCCATTCAATCTCTTTTTACTTGTACTCATCCTTCCCCACTTGTGAATGCTGATTGCAATTTTCTTCTCCAATCTTGTTGTTAAGATCCAAAATGGTCTTCTTTGCCTCGTCAACAAGTTCTTTTGCCTGGTCAACACAGTGTTTTTTGTTGCTGGTGGTGCCTTGTTCAGGGGGGAACAAACAAAAAGCAGCAGCCTCCTCCTATTTGCCCATTGCTGATTTTTAGCTTATCATGGAGTGCTATTTTCATGTCAGTCCTTGTTGAAGATCCTTGCTTGAAGATAGCACTAGTAGGAGGCAGTTGAAGAGGAGGAGGAGGAGGAGCTACTATTGTCACTTGAAAAGTTGCAGCAGAAGCTATTATTGTTACCAGAGATGAATCATCTTGAGCTTCTCAGGTTAGCACAGTACAGCATCTATGTCAATATCATGAGGAGTAAACTTGTCTGTATCCTTGTATCCAGCTTCTTTTGCAACTTCCTTCACCTAATTCTTTACTGTATCTTGACCAACAACTGGCATTGCTGCCTTGAAGTAATACAGAATGTCCTTGGATCTGTTTTCTCTCACATAGCAAAGGAACCTCTGTTGCTCTGGATGGCATCATGTGCAATATAAGTTGATGAGCTTCACAATACAACATACATGACTTTCTTGTCTCCAGGTTTGTTTTTCTCTGGATTTGTAGCATCAAATAGTCTGAACAAAGCAATTGAGGCATCCTTTCCTCATTGCTGCATACCCCTTGGTGTTTCATTCTGCTGTCCCATTCTCATCATGTCCCAAAGTGTTGAAGGTGTTTGGATTATTAATCAGCTTCTTTGCATATGCTTATTTAGAGTTGGTGCATTCAGTGACAGGAACAGTGACAGTGGCAGCTGCTGCCAGCATTGGTGCTGGTACTAGTAGTATCATCTTCTTTTTTCTTTGTTGTTGTTGTTGTTGTTGTTGTTGTTGTTGTTGTTGTTGTTGTTGTTGTTGTTGTTGTTGTTGTTGTTTGAAATTTCTTCTTCTTGTTCACTGTGCTGTATGGATTTTGGATTGGTGGCTTTCAGATTTGAGCTGGCATTGATCAAGAGATACTCTCTTTGGTTTCTTAGTTTTTGCTGGTGTTGTTGTTCCTCTTGTTGTAGCAGCTGTTGCTTCTTCTGGTGCCAACAGGATTTTTTTGCTTTCTTGTGCTGCTGGCACGGGCGCCTTCATCTTAATTGGTTGTTCTTTTGACGCTCCCACCACCACCACCACCAATGATGGTGGTGGAGCATTTTCTTTCTTTGGTTCTTGAACTTACCTGCTCCTCAGCACCACCAACTCCCTTCGTCCAGCAGTCAATATGGATCTCTTGCTTGCTGTTTCTGAGAGGAGAACAACCTGTTCTTTTTTTGCTTGCTGTATGGTGGCAGTTTTTTTAGGCTCCTCCTTGCTGATTCTGGCTGTTGTTTCTTGCATCTTCTTCGACAGAGGCATGGTTACTTTGTTCTTACTACTTCTTCTGCTGGTGGTCCTCCTCATGGTGAACTGCTACTGGTGGTGGTGCTGCTGCTGCTCGTCCTGGTGATTAGTAGGAGGACTGGTAATATTGTGGAGAAAAGAAGGGCCTCTCTATAGGGAAGGGTTTGGTTCCAATCTTGACCTGCTTGAGGTGGGTGTACTTAGCAAAAAATAACTAGTGTTTGTTAGTGTTACTAGTTTTCTGTACCAGAGCAGTAACCAAGAAGGGTGTGGTTAGTGATATGTAATTTCGATGCTACTCAACGGTTACAAGGACGTACGTACGCACAGAGCAKCTCCATCGGTCGAATCTCCCGCTTCCGGTTTCGAATCACTCACTCTGCGGCGACACGCGATCTCGCAACAAGTAATCACAATCCAACCGAGAAGGTACAAGCCGTTCAGCGGCAACAGCGATAGCAACAGCAACAGCAGCAAAAAGAACAGCACGCATAATTGCCAGGGAGCATCGAACGAAAGAGAAACCGAAACACCCAACAACACTAAGCAACAGCACTGGAAACAAGAACTCCCATCCAGAACGACAACCGCACAGAATGGCACCTGTCGAACAAGGCGACGGAGAATCCTCCACACCGGCAGCTGCAACGACGGCAGATCCATCACCCAWTTTGCCTGATTCTTCCGGCGCCGCAAATSTAACTTCCACAGCGAAAAGACCCACCAAGAGCGTCACCGTCGTTCTCCCGGAGGAAGGGAGCAACGGCGGCCACAGCGGAGGCAATGGAAGTGGCAACAGAAGTGGCAGTGGCAATCCCCACTCTGGAAGCAGCAGCGCCGCGGACGCCCACCGTGCCGCGGACGAAAACATTGAGCGGCAAAAGCGGCTGGAGGACGAGCAAAAGGCCAGGAAGCAGCAACAGCAACAGCAGCACCAATCCCAGCACCAGAAGAGAAAGACGAGCAGCAAAACCGGGGACAACCCGATTATTCCGGCTGCCATTGATTTCAGTACCATGATGGGGGAGAACAATGGCGACCAAGCTCCGGGAAGTCCCCATCCAGCGTCCGTGAGCAGCAACAACAGCACTGGCAACGGCAACGGCAACAGCAACAGCAACCAGAGCAAGAACAATCAGGGCCGGATCCAGCTGGGAATCTGCGCCATGGACAAAAAAGCCCGCTCCAAGCCAATGGCCGAAATCCTCAGCCGCCTCGACGAGAACTTGTTCCGGGTGGTCTTTTTCGGGGACGATCTCATCCTCAACCGGCCCATTCAGGAGTGGCCGGCCAACATCGACGTCCTCATTGCCTTTTACTCCAAGGGCTACCCCCTCCAGAAGGCCAAGGAATACGTCAAGCTCCGGAATCCCGTCTGCATCAACGACCTGGACATGCAGGAGCGCCTGCAGGACCGGCGAATGGTMTACGACCTGCTGGAGGCCTCGGGAATCGACGTTCCCCGGCACGTCTTTCTCAGCCAGGACGGCTACAAGTCTACCGGCAGCGGGGACGGCAACAAGGAGGGAGAGACCACCGTCCGGGAATTCGACGACCACATCGAGATCAACGGTGTCTCCATCCACAAGCCATTTGTGGAAAAACCCGTGGACGCGGACGACCACAACATTGCCATCTACTATCCGACGTCCGCGGGGGGCGGCTGCAAGAAGCTCTTTCGCAAGATCGGCAACCGCTCCTCCGAGTTCTACCCGGACATTCACGAAATCCGGAGGGACGGATCGTACGTCTACGAGGAATTCGTCGAAACCCAGGGGACGGACGTCAAGATGTACACGGTCGGCCCGGACTACGGACACGCGGAGGCCCGCAAGTCGCCGACGGTGGACGGRAAGGTACAGAGGAACGCCGACGGAAAGGAGCTCCGGTTTCCCGTCATTCTGACGCTGTCCGAGAAGGAGATTGCCCGTCGGATCGTCCTGCAGTTCAAGCAGTTCGTCTGCGGCTTTGATCTTCTGAGGGTTCAGGAGGGACACKCGGTCGTCTCCTACTGCTGCGACGTGAACGGCTTTTCCTTTGTCAAGAACAGCCGGTGCGTGTCGCATCGCCTTTTGTGGTTGGGTTGCGCTGTGCCATTCCGTCTTGTAACATGATTGTCGCTCTTGTCTGTGGAATGGACTGCCATCGCAAGATCGCGGTGTGGTGTCTTGATCTAACAAGAATTGCGCCATTTCTCTCTCTCTCTCTCCATTTGAAATTCCGTCGGGATATGCCCAATCGCATCGCATCGCATTCCATTCCATTCCATTCCATCCCATCCCATCCCATCCCATCCCATCCCATCCCATCCCATCCCATCCCATCCGTCCCACAGGAAATACTACGACGATTGCGCACAGATCCTAACCGAGCACATGTTGGCCATTGTGAAACCAGAGGAGCACAACCAGTTCTCCACCCTCGAGCCCCTTGTCACCGAAGTTGCTGACGTTGCACCGGAGGGCTTTATGAATCCCCTCCAGCGCGTAGCCCGGCTGCTCACCAACAACAGCAACAACGACGGGACCAACCAGTCCCATAGCGACACGGTGGTATCCGACGAGAACATYGAGACGAGGTCACACAARTCGATGGTCTCGACCGACAACGATCCGACGCTGCTAGAGGAGGGGGCCGTCCCCGTCCGCCAGATCCCGCGGGAACTCATCTCGGAACCCGCMTCGCTGCCCGTGTCGCGGGACGTTTCCTGCGAGGACTTTCTCGGGAAGCTAGGGCCCAACGGCGAATTTGACCGAAACCACGTTCCATCTTCGCACAACAGCAGCATCCGCAGCGTGGACAGCASCTACRTSCATAACCACGGCTCGARGAATTCCCTGGTGAACATGCATCAGGAGGAACTCCGCTGCGTCATTGCCGTTGTCCGTCACGCCGACCGTACCCCCAAGGAAAAACTCAAGCTCAACACCGCCGAGCCAATCATCCTCGAATATTTCAGAGACCACAGCGAAGGAAAACTGACCAAGGACCTCAAGATCAAGGCCAAGACACCCATGACGGAATTCCTGGCTGCCGTTCGGAAAATCATCGTCCAGTACGAGCAAAAAGAAGAACTCAGAAAGGACGAGCAAAAGATACTTTGGAAGTTCAACCACATGAGGGACGTCCTGGAGCGATGGAAGTTTTCCGGCCTGAACCGCAAGCTCCAGCTCAAGCCCAAGAAGATCACCACCGATGAGAAAACAGGAAAAAAAACCCTCCGGGAAGTCCAGCTCATCCTCAAGTGGGGTGGTGATTTGACCAAGCTGGGTGAAAACCAGGCCATCCAGCTCGGGCAGCAATTCCGGCATTCCATCTACCCCGATTCTCCGTAAGTATTGAATCGTCAGTTGTCGCAACGCGTATGCAATCGCCTTGCATCGCAAGGATTTTATTGTCTCGCACTTGCTAGTTTCGCATCGAATGCATACACTCGATGAGGGGTTCTTTGACTAGAACCACAAACAAATTTTCTCTAACTAACCAACCAACCAACACCACACACCGATATTGCACACACTCTGTTGACCGGAATTGAATCAACTTGAACCACAGTGGCGGAGGAGTTTTGAGGCTTCATTCTACGTTTCGCCACGATCTGAAAATTAAAACCAGCGACGAAGGAAGAGTAATGAAAACAGCCGCCGCTTTTGCAAAGGGGTTGCTAGATTTAGAGGGAGATATTCCCCCCATCCTGGTTTCATTGGTCCACAAGGAAAAGGGGAGCATGCACATGCTGGACCCGTCCGGCGACAAGGACGTCAAGTTAGAACTGGACGAATGCAAGGAAAAAATATCGCAGCATCTCCAAGAGGATATCGATTGGCGAGACATGACCGAAGAAGATCGCATCCGCCTCGTCGGACCTCCCGAGGTTACCTCGCTGAGGGACGCTCTCGCCAAGATTGGCAATCCTCGTAAGACACTTCAAACCATCTATCAAACGATGGGTACTTTGATCGAAGAATTGGAAGAAATGCTCGGTAGGGGGGAAAGTGGAGACGAAAAAGCCTCCGACGAAGGAGACATCCAAAAGGGAGATAGCGAAGAYGCGGATGCCCAGTTAAGTGGCGTCAAGTTGTACAAGGGAGAAACTCTGTTGGAACTGACAGAACGGTGGCGGTTTATCTACACGCGGCTATACGATGCCGAGACGGACACCTTTGATCTGTCACGGATCCCAGACGTCCTGGACAACGTTAGGTTTGATGTCCTACACAACCCCCATCTTGGCTTGACATCGATCTTGCACAAGCTTTATTCGCTGGCAAAAGACATGGCGGACACTGTTGTGCCACAGGAGTATGGCACAACCCTSGCTGAGAAGCGGAGCGTGGGCATCAAGGTCTGCAGCTCCCTCCTCGAGAAAATTCGTTTCGATTTGCACATTGCCAGAACCGACAATAAAACRGACATGCGGTACATGATCAACATGGACTACAGCGCGGATCTCCCCATCACCACCATGGGCCGTCGCATCCGTACTCGCTTATACTTTACCTCGGAAAGTCACTTGCACACACTGATCAATGTCCTTAGGTTTGCCGCCAACACTGACGCCGGTGGTTCTTCTTTCTYGGRCACCAATTGCTCCTCCCCCGTGTTATCTCCGTTTGGGTTTGGCTTTCTGAACGAATCTAAGGAAGTCTGCTACCTGACCCAGGTTGTCATTCGGCTTTTCGAAGACACCGGTCGCCGAATGAGCGATCCCCGGCGCTACCGCGTCGAAATTCTCTTCTCGGCCGGTGCGACCGGGACCCCCATCCACCAGTGCAAATCGACGAAGGAAACGGACGCAACMCGCCTGGATACAGAGCCCCTCGTAGCCGTAGGCCGAGAAGGTCTAACATGCCAAGAGGTCGAGGCATTTTTTGATTCCATTATCGCCGAACGAGGTCAGAGCGATGGCAACCACGACGTCGACGCAATTTCTGAACACAGCGGCCCACCGAAGACTCCTATGGGCAATCCCATTGATAGCGATGGCCAGAATCTCCCGACCCCAAAGACTGTGAATACAAATTCAGTTGCTTCTTGCGCCACTGAATCCCAAAAAATCACCTCGGATGAGGGAAGCGAACAGAATCAACCACAAAAGAACGATGGAAACCTCAGCAACAGAAATAGTGCTCTTTCATCTCCTCCCAATCCAAGCGTGCGGAAGCAAAATGGAAGAAACGCTGCCGAGAAACACACGAGTAACAGGGAAGAGAAGGGAAAGAGCGATGTGACTCGGGATTCGTCGGCGGTTTCGTCGTCGTCACCACCCGAACGCTCCGAATCGAGCAGGATCGGCGGGGCCAGACCAAGTAGGGCGGATGAAGACGACCACAACAAGGCGGTTCGCGATCACCAACTCTTTTACCTTACCATAGCTACCACCGCACTRGTGATGGGGGTTGGCTGCCTGGTCCTCGCTACAGGATTGACGGGGAATCCACGCAACCGGCGGCATTTCTCGCATTTCTCGCAGCGGTAACCACCAAAACGGAACTACCTGCGCTCACAACGAAAGCTCGACATGCTGGTCACAGCAAACGAGGAAAAACGAAACCACACCGCCTGCGGTTGCCCCAGCCCCACTGTATACTTGATAATACAAATAAGACACAAACAGATGAAATCACTTGCTCGTAATGCGAAGTAAAATTATTTTCATTACTCGTTTAAAAATATTTGCTGCCATAATCTAAGTAGCTATCTACTACAAGTAAAGCGATTCACAGTTCCGTTCTAGACAGACGTTRCAACCTCCTCTTGATCGCGWGCCTTGATTTCTGAGCGAATATTCTCTTCGCGTTTGCTWTCGAACCCCCATTTGGTGCTCGTATTGCGATCGAACATTCCCGAAGYGACGGARCCCCTTTYCGCYTGCTCCTCGWAGTCCCGAAAAAGAGAGTCGAGGCGTTTGATCACAGTGGATACTACAGTGTCGGGGTGTAGCTGGGGCAGGAACGGCTTGCTAACCCTGTCCTCGAGGAGCGACCCTAGATCGCTGTAGGCTCTTTTCAGTATTATGTCGTACGTBTTGTTCGCGAGCTTGAGATTYTTGTGCTTACCCATGGTCGACGATCGCACGTCGATGGCGAACTCMAGCTTGTCAAAGGCGAACATGATTTTTGTSGGAGGCGATAGGTGATYGGTGTTCTCGACCGATTTCATGAATTCTTCTTCGATCTCTCTCATTTTTTCATTTTTCATAGTGATGGCTAGGCTGTCGCACTCACCACATATCAAATCGATGGACATGTCCAAGGCATCCATCCTCTTCGCAACCATTGAGTGTTCCTSTGCTTTSACRTCGAGGTTCAGTTTCCGGTTGATGTTCGTCACGATCAGAAGCAGYGCACCRACRACTCCATCAGCGATCGCCCTTCTAAGCATGTGAGCATCCGAAACGACAACAACATTGCCCTTAAGAGWCGGTTTCATGTCGTTAATCTGGTCATCGTTGTATTCAACCGGTGCTGTGTTAGTCGCTGAACTGTGGGCCGAAACCGTACCAGAAATAGCAGTCCAGATGGACAAGAGCTGGAGCGGAAGAAAAATGAAGAAGAACTGGCATTTTGCGAAGTACGTGGCGGATAAATAATTTACGTATTTGGCTTTTAAGACGTTGGAATGGATCCTTCGCCRCCTAACTTCGATGTTGTCTTCTTCGTTGTGCAGGCTGCGAGTGCCCTGTGGCGGTGGCGACCCTTCGTTCGCCGATGGTAATTCCTGTTTTGTAGAGATCGATCCGCGCTGTTTTCTTCCGCTCTCATAGTGTGTGTCGAGAGACGATTGGTCGTTTGATGTTACAGATTTTGTAGGTGAGTCCTCCATGATTTTGTTGGAATAGTTGTATTGCGATGCAGATGKATTGATTCAAACAATCCAAAAATGCTTGCCGTTCTCTTAGTCGCTACGAAAAACAAACTTTTGCGACAACGGTTTGTTGGCATTAGTACKGATGATTGTTGTGATCTCACGACATTTCTCTCATCGATTCGCATCTAAAGCTATTGCGGGGGTCGAATCTGTAAACGTAATCCATTCTTTGTGAACACTTCCTAAATGCAAACAGTTTTTAAACACGACTTCCCATCACAGAATCAACAGCTGCTTATGCCGACGAAAGAATTTCGGATGCTTTTTGTCAAGTAAAGTGGTCAGGAATGTTATGGGCTATCCAATAGATGATGGGAATCATCTATGGTTTGTTAGGCAGCCACGGCCATCATGTTTAGCGGCATCCTGGAAATTTCTCTTAAGTTTTGTCATAAATGTTACAAGATTTATTGTGATCGTAGTGTCTTATGGCACTTGTACCGTTCCATACGTTTTTTGGTTTATTTCTCAGATTTTTATGAATACGCTTGGTGATTCAGGTTACTGATTCACTATTACTGATTCACTATCTACTCGGGATTGGTTGCGGCGGCCGCCGTTTTTTTTTTAAAAGGACGGCGGCTGCCAAAAAAACTTACTACAGTGCAAAAACTAGGTTATTGCTACTAGAATGACTTGTTGTCACAACAATGACTGAATGTTTAAGTTAAAAAATGAATAATCTGGCTACCGCGCACTAAAGTTAGTGAAGTGCAGTGTAGTGCACCATAGCTAATTCAGCGAAAACTGTAAATAGATTGCAGAGCGGTTTTGACCGACGATGATAACTCGATTTTATTTTGATCCTCCCCCTTCTACATTTCCCCTCTCCCAGCACCCCTCCACACACAACAAGGACAACTAGCTTTGTCCTTCAATATTTCTATTGGTGGTCCTTACTACTGGAGAGGTAATGTGTGATTCCTGTTATTCTAAATCTCGAAAGCTCTAAATCTACTACTAGTAGGGATCTAGAATAATGGGAATCAAAACATTCAACGGACAGACTGAGAGGATGCCAGCTCGATGCCAGTCTTTTCCAGAATTTGGAATCTTCTTAGTATGAACTTTGTAATGACTAAAAAGAGGCACATGAAGGAGCACACAGATTTTCAATACGTGTGTTAAGTCTTTCAATGGACGACTGGAAAATTATTTTATTCGTGGGTTCCACTCTAAATCTAGAGTATTTAGGACCGGGTGGTTTGACCGGTTCTAAATGTGCTAAATCTAGAGTCAAATTCTCTAAATTTTGGGTCTGTCAGTCTATCAAAATCTAGAGATTTAGAATAATGGGAATAACCCGATTTCATTGCTTAGTAGTACTACTTGAAAATTCCCATTAGTGCTAACTACTAGACAACCTTTATTTTTAGTGCTTACTAGTAGTGGAGACAAAATATTAATGAGCACAGCAAACTGCTGGGTACTAAGGGTTTTCCTTCTTCTTGTTAAGACGAGTTCTGCAAGAAATATTTAAGGGCCAGCCAGCAGGAGGAATAATTTAAATAATTGGAATCAATTTTTTGAAAATGAAAAAATGACTCTAGCAATTTTGTTAGTGTTTGTATGGGGACCATGGAAAAACAGCCAGAATTTTGCTCTCCAGTAGAAAAATCCTGGGTGGAAACTGTTCTGGTGCTGCAATCTATTCTTAGTACTACTACTAGTAAGTCCTTACTATGTATAAATTGACAGACCAAAAATTGAAATTTTGGAATTTTGCATAATGGAAATCCTCAAGTTACAATTAATTTTTTAACTGTAAAAATGACCCTATCAATTTTGTTGGTGTTTGTATGGGGACCATGGAAAACCAGCCAGAGTTTCGCTCTGCAGTAGAAAAATTGTGGGCGGAAACTTCTCTGCTGCAATCTATTACTAAGTCCTTCTTATGTATAAATTGACAGCAAACCAAAAATTGAAAATTTGGAATTTGGTATATCTTGTTGTACTTGTGATTGAGCGCAAGCACAATGAATAACAAATAGATTGCAGAGCGGTACCCGCCCATGATTTTCTACGACTACTGGAGAGGGAATTCTGGCTGGTTTGGGATAGTCCCCACACAAACATCTGCTGCCAATGCTGCAACAAACAATGTAAGCACCTTGGATTGTCTTGGACATCCAAGAAAGTGGAGGCCTCACAGACTCCTTTTGCTTGTCATGAGATCAAGCATTTTTGTGAGTCAATCCTTGGGAAATCCAACTTGCCGTGTTAGTCTTGTGATTACTACTAGTAGTAGGTTGTTCTGAAGGGCATCAGGCTGCATAGGAAGGCACCCATCAAATGTCTAGAGTGACATTGCCAAAATCTTCTAATCTTAGATACTAGATCAAAGAAATTCTACCAACTTATTTTTGCTGTTGGCCTGTGCGACATTCTTCTTGTTTCTTCCCACCACCATCCACCAACAAAAAGAACACGATGAATGGGTCACAAAGAGCTTGGATCTATTGCAAGAGGTGGTGTTGCTTGTGTCATTGCATTGATAGCTGGAGGGAACAAGGGCAGATGATCTTCCTTGTATGCTTGCCATAAGTATGGAGGAAAGCACCGATGATAATCCCCTTAAGTGTATAGTACTAGTATGTCACCTGCTTGCTGGTCCCGTCTGTCCGTCGCTCCCAAAACTCTTGTAAGATATTTTTGTACAGTACTCAAACTCACCTTGGATTTCCACTGCTGTCAAAGCAATCGATCTGAATCTGAAACCTGACATTTTTGATCTTTCAGACGGAACTCCCGAAAGGAACAAATTCGCCATTCCTTTGATCCAACATCAAGAAACAAAGCGAGTTCGAGCATCGTGCTCGTTCCAGTTTCCCAACTCGYAACGGYAGTAAATGCCATTGTCTGGTCTGAAATTGCACCAATCAACGGTGGCATGTATCATTCGCTGTAAGCGGTGATTGATTTTCCAGTTCACCAGACACAGACAACCTTCACAAAATGGCATGGTCAAGTCCAAAGAATAGCGGAAGGAGGACGAGGACAACTCGAACCCCTGCCGGGCCGATCTACTACGACTCGAAACACTCAGTTGCCATTCTMCTTCAGTGCAACGGRTCGGCATGGCTCAGGGTAATACCCTGGTGTATCCTCAACGCGGCATTCACGGCAGCATTAACGGCACTCGAAACGAGATACGACCTGCCACTAGCGCTGCCGGGCGAATCGTCGTCGCTCGGCCACGATTTTACCGGGTTGGTGCTTTCCTTTTTGCTGGTGCACCGAATCGGCTGGGCACTCCGCAGGTACTCTCGATACCAGGAATCCCTCGGCACTGTCCTGCGGGACGTCCGGGGCCTGACCCAGAAAGCCATCGTTTTYTCTCGGCGAAACAAGAACAACGACACCTCTGCCAAGGAATGGAGGTCCGAGATCGCCTATCGGAGCCTGCTCATGGCCAGAATGACCACCGCCAATGCGGAATTCCCTGTTGCGCAGATCCCCGCACACGAGGTGGCCGAGCTCGACGGCCCGGAGCTCCAGTTTTGTACTCCCGATCGGGACTTTCTGYACCACGCCGAGATTCCGTACAGCAAGGGGATCCACTCCTTGTTGCGGATGCCCTGGAAGATTGCGGAATTGATTCGAGAGACAATCTGTGGGTAAGTCCGCCATTCGATTGCCCGSTTTTTCGGTTCAGATTGCCAATTCGGTGCAACAAGCAAGTCTAACTCTAAATTTCGCACGGATTCTTCCACGCAATCCAATGCTTTCTTTCGCCTTGCCCSCCTGGTTTGCTACAGCCAAGAAGAACGACTGGTCAAGCCAATGAGCACAGACCACGAAATGAATCTGCTGGCTACCGTGGATTCTATTCTCGCTGGCTACCACGGAATCCAAAACCTTATGCTGACGCCCGTCCCCTTCCCGCTCGTGCAAATGACCCTCACCCTCACCATGGTGTACGTYTTCACGCTCCCCCTGGTGTTTTTAAAGGACGACGCCCAGCGGAGCCTGCTCGGCGACTGTTCRCGCGTGTTTTTTGCCACGTATTGTTTCCTCGGCCTGGCGTTTGTCGCCCAGGACCTGGACGATCCCTTCGGGTGCGGCCCGAACGATTTCGACGCCGMGGGCTGCTTCGGGTTTGCCCTGGACGACGTCGTGACCATGATCCACGACGCGGACGGCCTGGAATGGGCCGATGCGCTGCGGTACAAGTGCAACCCAAACCCCTCGAGGGCCGTCCACGACGAGATGGTGGGCGCGATGACGGGAGAGCGCGAGGGCTTGCTGCCAAAGCACAAACACGGCGGCGGCGACGACAATCGCCCCTGGAAGCACGCCCCGGTTCCGGACTGGATGGCGTAGGAGAAGAGCTGCCGCTGCTCCTCRCAAAAGATGGTGCAGGGTTTCTTTTTGTGCTTGTGGCGTTGCCGTCAAGCCCAACGTCCAAGTCCGAGACCAAGCTTGTAGTTCCATGGAACTTTTGCGGTGCCTTTGTTCGTGCTGGTTGCAGGGATTAGTTCCATACGGCACCGCCTTTAGAGGACGACAAGCCACAGATGTGAAGTAAAATTGTTTAATATTTCAATACTTGTTTTAAAATATTCACAACTACGGTACTACCACTGTGGGCAATTACTTGATTCCCTTCAACTAGTAGTACTACTATTAGTACATTGCTTCCTTCGTTAATTCTCCACGGCTGTGGGGAAGAATTCTTCTTCTTGTTGGATCGATCACCATTGCACAGATACAGTGCTAGTTTGGAACACAACCAGCAAGAACACCTTAGTAGGGGTTTTATGCTTGTGAAGTCCCTGCAAACTCAAAACACTGAACCATAATCAGGCTTTGCTTGTACTTGTAGTAAGCCTACTAGTACTACTACTATCTATCTACAATAAGGCATCTACACCCAAAATGTTCCGTAGTAAAAAGCATCGTGCATTCGTATCGCATGGTACCGTACTCGTTTGAACGTACGGTATATTGTAAACCTACACCAGTTTGCAACTTTTTCGAGTCGCTGAAAAACCGTTAGGTCGAAAACGAGGACAGACAAGAGAGTTTTTGATTTATGCTTTTGGTGTTCTTGGAAACTCGTATTTTCGGGGGTGTAACTCAGGGGTAGAGTGGTCGCTTTGCATGCGACAAGTCGCAGGTTCGATTCCTGCCTCCTCCATTTTTAGTATACTGCGATCAAGCCATTCCTGACGATCTGATTTTTTTGTACGTGTTTTTTCTCCTTTTCCAACCCTCTATATTGCACAATATATGAGTATCATATGGTACTTTCAGACTTTTAATCATGGGTGCAACTAACCTATTTYATCTGCTTTTACATGGTGTTTTAAGGCCCCTGATTTGGAAAAACSACTGCACTGCATCACAAACTGTTGCTATTTCATTCTGTTCGTCCGAAGAGATCCATTGCGATTGAAGGGTTCTTCAAGTGGATCTTGAATTTATACTACATAAGAGTAGCCATCGTTACGTTTGGTCAAGTCATCTACCAGTTATTGCGAAAATTTCTAGTTGTGTATCAGAACTAAAATATTACTCGACGGGAGAGCAACATTTTCTAACAATAATTTAGAATTGTACAGATAATTTTCCTATTWCTCACGGCAGACTAGCATTCGAATTAATGTATCAGAATAGTTTTGGTTGACATAGCAACTTGTTTCGATAGAAGTGAAGCATTCTTCACAACTATACTTTTTCGAGGGTACTTCGCTACGGTATTTCTCTGAAACACGCGATTGTTGCCTCCTCGGCTCTACTAATGATCTCTTTTGGTTTCTTTCAAGCGAGGTTTGATCGGAGTGGATTATTTCTCTTGCTCGGCATTTTCCGAATCATATTTCCCACCCGGGATAAACGTATCGAGGCCGACAAGGTTCGACTCATCGACATCTTCGGCGCTACTGTCATGGTTGCTCTCCATAACATCGCTGGTGTGGGCCAAATCATAGTTTTTGAGGCTACCAAGCATATTAGAAGCGGTGGACTCGTTGTCAGACCGKAACATGGCCAAAAACTCTTCGAACGAGACTATTGCAAAGGAAATCAAACAAACGAATCAAAACATCCAGCAATTGTGTTTGAGAAAGAATGAGTTGCAACATGCACAAAGTGAACAAACAAAAARTGAGAAACCAGCATTAAACTATACAACCACAACCACAATRACGACGACGAAACTCACCGAAGCCGGTCTTGCCTGTGTCTGCTTCTTCGATCATRCGCTCCACCTCATCGTGCGTCATCTCCGTGTCGCCAAAGAATTCCATCATGTTCTCCTTCGAGATCTTCCCCGTTTTGTCGACGTCAAGCCGGTCAAAAGCCTCAGCGATACGATCCTCATCGAGCTCACCCTGGGCTTCAAGACTGGCGGCGATAAATTCCGTGTACATAATGTGTCCGTTCTGGTTGATGTCGATTGATTCGAACATTTCCCTGATCTCCTCGGCGGAGTAGTTCCCTTTGTCCAGCAGGGCCGTCTCGAATTCTTCCGACGTGATGACGCCATTGTTGGCCGTGTCCATCTGGTCAAAGGCCTTGCGCAAGTTGATAATGTCGGCGGTAGTGGAACGGTGGGCAATAAAGTTAAGCGCGAGTTTCTTGAGATTTGAGTTGTTCTTATACGCTAGGAGGTTCTTTGTAACGCGTCCCGTCATTGATTCCGTGGGAGCCCGGTCCTCTGCCTTGAATTCCTTATGCATCCACTCGTGTTTCTGCGCGTGCTTAGCTCGGTACCGGACCTTCGGATCCACCACCAGCAGGTKATCGATAAAGTCCTTGGCCTCCGCGCTAATGGGTCTCCAGTAGTCCTTCTCAAAGGTGTAGTCGCACCGCATGATTCGATCGATCATGACCTTTCGTYTCTTGTTGTAAAAAGGCCGGTGGCTAGAGAGAAGCATGTAAGTAATAACACCCACGGACCACATGTCGGCCTGTGATGTATACACGCCCTGCAGGACCTGAGGAGCCATGCTGTACAATGTTCCGACTCCCTCCCTCATGTAGCCCATCTTGTTGGAAGCAAACTTTTTCGACAAACCGAAATCGATGACCTTGATTTCCGCATCGGGGCGCTTGCTTTCAAACATGATGTTTTCGAATTTGACTGTTGTTGATTTCGTTAATTTTGAATTGAATGTTGTTGTTGTGTTTAGTTTGCGTTTTTGGTCAATCGTATCCAACCACGGAAGGAAAGAAAAGATGATAGAAACGAAACAACAAAAAGTTAACAATTGAAAAATACAGAACCTTCAATTGAGTGCATTTATGCATTTTCAACCATCCATATGTTACGAATGCTGTTCCTGCATCCTATCTTTCTTCTAATAATCGTCGCATTGGCATCAAATTCCTACTTACGATCTCTGTGGACAATTMGGTGGTCGTGCATGTATTTGATGGCCGACAGCAGCTTGCCAACAATGTAGGCCGATTCCTGTTCCGTGTAAGGGAGTCTCGTGTACAAATCACCCCCGTCGCAGAGCTCCAGGATCATGTAGATCTGCTTCTTGTGCGAAAAGACCTCGTGGAGCCGGACAATATTGGGATGATCCATCGCCTTGAGGATGTCAATCTCGTTCTTGAGCTCATCGATAAATGACTTGGACACTCGGTCAAGAATGATGCTCTTGAGGGCGTAGCTGGMCACKGTGCCCGATGGTCTGTCGATGCTGCTCGAGGAGAACGATCCCCGGGAGCTAGCCATGAAGCCCTCCTTTAAAACCACCTTGGCGACGTGCCCCATGCTGCCGTTGCCCAAGACCTCCATTTCGGTGTATTTCTTGTAGACGTYGACCTTATACTCCGTCATAAGGCCGCTATGGATGGACCCGCCGGTGCCAGAGTTTGTCGATCTAGATTTCTGATTCTGCCGCCGCTTATCGATGTTGCTGTCGGTGGCGGCAGTCGACTTTGACTTGGGGGAAGTCTTTACGTTTCCATCGGTTGGCTTATTTGCCTCCGGCGATTTTTTCACGTCTCCATTGGCTGCCTTTCCCTCTGCGAAAGAATCCCTTTCCGGATCGGGATCGGCATCGGCATTAATGCAGTTGCCCATGGATGAAAAAGAGGGACAGGGACGAAAGATCCCTGGCTTCAGGCAGTTGTCGAAAAAAGGTATGGTAGAGTCGCTCGATCGATTGGCGACTTGAATCCTACACTGCTATCTCTGCGTTCGTGCGGAGAGGGGAGGAAACCGGTTGTCAATGCGTGTGTGGTCGATAAGTCGCTGATCCGTTTTGGGTTGCAATGATGCTGACTCTTTGAAGATGATCTATGTGCTGCCGTTCGGTAGGAAATGCGAAGACCAGGCTCGCTGGGATCGATATTTTTTGTTCAACACAACACGCGAATTTCTCAATCATTTCTCACCGT